TTATTATCATCATTACTCACATCCATGATTTGTTATGTTAATGATATGTTAATGTGTCAGCTTGAACTTACTTAACATAGGTTCGCAATGGTCCTCGAGAGGTACGATGCCCAGATGAAAGTCGTTCAGACGGAGTTGGAAGAACGAATGAGGCCTGGACCTGCAGCTGTCACTCTGCACCATCAGATCAGGCAGATCATGGGCGTGCAGTCAGGAAACGTTAGTGAAGAGGTCAAAGATACTAAAGGTCACGAGAGTAGTGCCGATGATAAGGATGCTAAAACATCATCGGCATCCACCCAGCCTAAAGATGATCAACCATCCCAGACGTCATCTCCACCAAAAGCTCTAACAGGTCATTCTTCCTCAGATGAAAAACTTGAACTGGCCGAGGTCAGGATCAGCAGGCTGTTGACCCTTTTACAGGATTGTGGAAAGAGTCTAGACGAGAAGGTGGTCGATGAGAAGAGATGGCAGGATCGTCTGCTGGAGGTGGAGAAAAATCACGCCGAGAAATTCGCAGAGTCTGAAGAATCGGTGAAACGTCTGAATAGGCAGATCACAGAGCTATCGGCCAGGGAGAACGTGCTGAATACAAATTTAGAGAGAACGAGGAGAGAGAATGAGGAGATAGTGAGGAGGCAGAGGAGTGATATGCTCGAATTGCAGAAGGTTGTCGAAAAGTTGATGGGGAATGAGCAAGTTCTCAAGAAACAAGTTAGGCAGTTGTTGTTGTGTGTTGCTGGCTGGTTGGCTGGTTAGTTGGTTGGTCTTCCAAATAAATTGTTCACAAATTGTTCATTGTTCAATTGTTAGTTGACTGATTTAGTTGTTGAATGAATAATAATTAGTTAATTCTTGTATGGCAGATTGATTTAATGATTGGTTGGTTGGTCGGTCGGTCAATTAACATTTTAAACTCCACCTCCTCGCAGATGAATGACATCAAGCGATCGTGCGATGATGAGGTGGCCAGGGTCAACAAAGAGAACGAGTCGGCTATGAAAGAGTTGACCCGCTTATTTCAGGACAACCAATCGGCTGTCGGTGACCTATTTAAAGAGCTGCAGCAGTCGAAGCAGCAGTCGAATGACATCATCAAGCAGCTAGAAGATGAACTGAATGAAAAATATTACCAGCTGGAGATTGTCCACAGCTGGCTGGAGGAAATCCGAGCGGGAAAACCCATTTCGCAGATTCCTACTGAGATAGTCTTTCTTCCCATGCCGCCCAATAACGAGGATCAAGATAGAAAGAAGGACGAAAAAACGAATGAAGTTGCTGCTAGTAACGATACTTCTGCCAGTGGGGACGTTGTCAAGGGGGGTGGATCAGACTTGGGTGGAGAACAAGGAGTGGATCAAGCTGCAACAAATTTGGCAGCAGCTGCAGCAGCGTCGGTTACTGCAGCTGACACTAAATAGATTAAAGTAGTTGGTGGAGCTCTGATGAAAGATGTAAGTTCCTTATTCAAGAGACATCTGATAACAATTTGTATGTACGTATTCGAGCGTCAGTTTTTGTGTACTTTGTGTGTGCGTGTTTTTGTATGTGTGTGCGTCTTTTTGTATGTGTGTGTGTTTGTGTGTGTGTGTGTGTGTGTGTGTGTGTGTGTGTGTGTGTGTGTGTGTGTGTGTGTGTGTGTGTGTGTGTGTGTGTTGGAAAATTTTGTGAGTTGGAGCATAAAAATTATTTTACTTTGAAAAATTTTAATTTTCATTATTCCAACCATGTTATGCTTCGTTAATTATTAATTATATTTTTCTATCGTAATCATACGATTGATTAAGTTAATTAATTAATGAATGAATCAATCAATTAATTAATTAATTACACACACTGTACATTACTTGTGTACTAATAACTTGATGTATGATCACAATGTTTCTGGTATTTATTGGTAATGAAAGGAGTGGAGCTTGTTTGTGTGAGCATTTTATATATGATTCAATTTGTATTGTATTTTATTTGGTATCTATTGGAATATTTTACATTTATTTGTCTATTTATTTAAATGTTTATTTATTTATTAACAATTTTTTGATTCGATTTTCAATAAATTCAATAATTTTCTCACAGGCGGATTTTTTCATATCACTGTGTTTTTCGTTTTTTAGTTGTTTTTCTCATGAAATTTCTGCTTTTTGTAATATTTTCAAGAACTTATTTATGGCTGTGTGTACTTGTGTGTGTGCGCGTTCGTGTGCGTATTTTAAGTACTCGTGTGTGTGTGTTTGCGTGTGTGTTTGCGTGCGTGTGTGTGTGTAGGTGTGTTTGTATGTGCTAGGTATGTTTGTATGTGCAAAGTAAGTTTGTATATGTGTGTACGACTCTAATTTTTAGTATGATTTCTAGATAGTGTTTGAACCAGAGAATTATTGATTAGTTTTTTTTTATTTAGTTGAATTTGTGTTATCATCAATACTTTTTTTTGATTGATCAATGATTTTTCTCAATTTGAAATGATTGTAATTAGTTCCGGCTGACTATTGTTATTATTCTTATTGTTAATAGTGTTATTATTATTTAGTATTGTTGTTGTTGTTTGTTGTTGTTTGTTGTTGTTTGTTGTTGTTGTTATTGTTGTTGTTGTTATTGTTGTTGTTGTTACCTTAGTTCTTTTATTTAACTTTGGATGTTTCTCTGTGTTTTTTTTGTTCTCTATGCTTATTTCATTTTTCTAACAAAGTACTTTAATACTATTTTTACTACTTCTTCTGCAGCTACTACTACTACTACCACTACCACTACTACTACTACTTCTACTACTACTACTACTACTTCTATTACTACAGCTACAACTGCTGCTGCTACTACTACTACAGCTACAACTACTACTACTATTACTACTACTACTTCTAATTGTAACGATAACAAAAATGATCTTAGTTGATAAATAATGATACGATGTTTTTTTTTCTATGTTGCTTATTTTTATTCATTTTTTCGTCTTTATATTTTTATTTGAAGTAGTTCATTTAATTTTTAGTATATGTTTTTTTAACCTAACATGCTTTTTTTCTCTTAGAGATCTTTCCTGTCTTTTTCGTTAAATAACTCCTTTATAAAAATTTACTTCTAAAGTAATTTTAAACTAAATAACAAAAACATTTTGACAGTGATTATAAGCGAAAGAACTGACGCAACCTAAAAAATATAAATAAAAAGCAATAGAAAATTGTAAAACTGAGAAAAATAATCATCAATCAATCAATCAATCAATCAATTAGCTTATAAAGCGCTATTTCCGCGATGTTCAACAGCGCTCCTCAATGAATTTTGAAAACAGATGGGTCTTGAGATCCGCTCTGAACTTCGCAAGCGATGGAGAAATAGTTAGAGAAGTAGGCAGAGAGTTCCAGAGAAAAGGACCAGAAAAAGCAAAAGCAGATTTGGCAAAAGAGTGTTTAACACGAGTTAAGAAAAAGCGAGAAGAAGAAGACGATCGTAAACCGGGGCGTTTAGGTTCAATTAATATATCTGATAAGTACTTAGGAAATAATTTAGATTGAGACTTATACATGAACGTGCAAATTTTAAAAATTATTCTATATTTTATAGGTAGCCAGTGCAAGAGAACAAGATATGGAGATATATGAGAAAAGAAAGGGGCACGAGCAACTAGACGAGCAGCAGAGTTAAAAGCTTTACTTAAAGGATAGAGTATAGAGTCAGGAAGACCATATTAGAGCGAGTTACAATAATCAATCCTAGATAAGACTAACGAAGTAACAAGAAGGAGAAGAGTAGGATCATCAAGAAAAGGCAAAAGTTTTTTTATTCTACGTAGATGAAAGTAAGAGCTTTTAGCAACACTATTAATCTGAGAAGAGAGAGAGACATAGTAGAATCAAAGATAAAACCTAGACTACGAAACTTATGAGAGACATCAAGAGTTTTAGAATCAGGTAAGATAATAGGAGGAATAGTAATTGAGTGTTTAGATTTATTAAAACAAATTAATTCAAACTTAGAAGGATTAAGTTTAAGACACATAGAATCAGACCAAGCGATAATCGAAGAAAGACATAGAGATAAATTATGAAGAACATTATTGAGATTAGATGGAGGAAAAGAAGTATAAATATAAGAATCATCAGCATATAGTTGACTAGAGAAAGAAAAGTTATTAATAATACGAGGTAGTTCAGAAGTATAGAGTATAAATAGAAGAGGGCCAAGGATAGAACCCTGAGGTACCCCGAAAGTAAGAGTAGAGGAGTTAGAAGTAGAATTATTGAGAACAACAGAAGAAAAACGATTACAGAGATAAGAAGAAAACCAAGATAGACAAGAATCAGTAATATTAAAAGAAAGATGCAGCAGTCTCAAGAGAATAGTATGGTCAACAGTATCAAAAGCTGAAGAAAAGTCAAGAGCAAGAAGAAGAGTAAGATTACTATTGTCACTAGAGAGAAGGATATCATTGTGTATTTTAAGTACATCATAAGAAAAAGAAAGATAATGACGAACGAATGATGATAATATGACGTCTTGGGTCTCATTCAATCATTTAAAATTGAAGAAATCTTCGATAAAGAACAAGTATAATTTGACAGATTTGAAAAGTTTGAGCTAATATTATTTCTATCCATTTACATACATATATATATATATATCCCATGTATGATATATATGTATATGTATATATATATATAGAGAGAGAGAGAGAGAAAGAGATGGAGAGAGGTAGAGAGCTAATGTGAATATGATGAAGATGAAATGTAGGACAAGCGTTTAAACATTTATGAAAAACAACTTTGACATGTATATAAACTGTGTGTATGTAAATATGTAATGTAAATACGTAATTATGTAGATATATAGGTATGTATATACGTGTGTATATGTATCTAAATCTGCGACTGTGTGCGTTTAGAGGCATTCATACATATCAAATGGTTTCATGTAATGGCATTTGGAATCAATTAAATGATGTTTAAATCTGAATGAATGTTGAGCGCTTCAGAAATTTAAAGTTGTCGTTTTAGTCGGTACCAAGATGGCGTATGTTAATGCTTAAAAATCTAGACTTTAGTGATTAATTTTTTCGATTTTTCAGATTAATTATTTCATTTATGCGTTTTAAATAAAAGAAGTAGGTTGGCTATTTGCTATTTTTGGTTTTTAAAAATTTTAATCACTGCGATTTTTTGTTTCGGCAATTTCAATGACATTTTTTTTTACAAAAAACAAACGTCCCTTGAAATCTTGATTGATTTTCACTTCCATTTCAAAACAGAAAAATCAGTCTCCTCATTTCACGCTTAAAAATTTTTAAAGATGGCGATGAATGGTCAACTAAATGGAGGAACCGGAAAGTACCTTGATTCACTTGGTGAGTTCTTTTATTTATTTAGAAATTCATTTAATTTAGTTTTAGTATTTAGTTATTAAAGAGAATTTTGAGTAGATCTATCTACCTACTGTCTACTTAATTTACTGCTACTTATTATCCCATTGTAAAATGTTTTTTGCATGTGTTTCAAATCTTGGATTTTATTTCAAAGTTATCACAATTTGATTTTTTCATGTATTTTTAAATTTAAACTTCAAAAAATTTAATAGACACAGATGATCCTGAATATGTTCGCCAGCTGATGAGGCCAGTTGATGTGAAGGAAGATGTTAGGCAGATGGAAGAAAGGAAACGTGTGAAATTAGTGTTAGAGAGTAGTCTGTTCAGGAATGAATTAGAAGAGCTTGTTGTGGAACAGCTCTTTCAGAATGGCGGACCTCTCACCCCAAACTCTGTGACTGCTAAAAACTTGTCAGATTTGCTGGCAAACCGAGTTAAAAATGCAGCAATAAAAAATGGTAAATTTTTTCATTCTTGATCAAAAAATTTTGACTTTTGAATTTGAAAGATTTAGTTGATGTAGAATCTGCTTCATTTGGTCAGGTTTAGGGCCTTGCATTCCAATATCAGATATAAAATCCAGTGTGGTGGTAGACCCTCTGGAGCGCACGTTCAGGTGCAAGTTGGCTTCCCTCTATAGAATCATCGACCTTATGGGGTGGAGTCGTTTCATGCAGGGGGGCATTTCTGTTAGTATCTTATATCTATGTTTGTTAATATTTATATATCTTTGTTCTGTTGTAATATATATCTATGTTTGTTAATATTTGTACCTCTGTTCTGTTAGTATTTCAATCTATGTCGGTAGATAGCCATTGAAAAATTAGCTAGCAGCTGTTAGGAATGTTAATTGATGTGATTTACTTGATATGCTAATGTTGGCTAATAGGATTGGGTAATAATTATGTGAGCCAATAATTATTAACTGATGCAGGTTTGCTTTTTTTTAATTTGTTCAAATTCCTCAATTTTTTAAAATTCTAGGGTCGAATTAGTCAGGAGCATGAAAGGTTCCTCATGGGCCCGTATGGAATTTTCCCCAACGAGGTCACCACCACTAATCTTCTGAAAGTGAACACAAAGGGTGATGTACTGGATACCCCTGTAAACCCCTTGATACATAATTTTTACAACGGGGAGACGACCAACTTAACTAACGGTAATCAGGCAGGGGTAGATAAGAATGAATTCAAACTGCATTCTGCCATATACGTTGCCAGACCTGACGCTCGATGCATTGTCCATCTGGCTAACAGTGCTGCTGTTTCGGTTGGTGAATGTTTTAGTTAGGCCTGCTGATGTTTGTGCGTTTGTGTTGTTTGTTTTTGTGTTTATGGTGTGTGTGTTTGTGTGCGTGTGTGTGTGTATGTATGTATGTATGTGGTACACGTATTCATTTGATGGGTTGGATGATTGACATCCAGATATCAGCACTGAACCAAGGTCTTCTGCCCTTAAGTAAGGAGGCCATATGTCTTGGGGACTGCAGTTATTACGTTTACAACGGTGGCACTCTAGACCCGGAGCAGAGGGACAAGTTGAGGAGGTCTCTTGGTCCTTCTAACAAAGTTAGGATAGCGGTTGAGATGGTGACGACGACGATGATGATGGGTAGCATGATGATGTGTTGAAAGTGTTATCATAGTGTTAGTAATGAATTAATGATGGTAATAATGATGGTGAGTAGAATTGTTAAAGTTATATTTACGATCAAATTGAAAGGTGTTATTCTTGAGGAACTTTGGAGCGATGCTGATAGGCACATCAGTCGAGGAGGCATTCTGGTTGACCAGGCATCTCATGTCTGCTGTTAATGAACAGGTATCTGTACGCACGCGCGCGCGCGCATGTGTGTGTGTGTATATTTTACTCCATTTTACTTTTATCTCAGCTCTCATTGGCCAGAACTCCTGGGGCTCTGAGCAATCTGAAGCTACCATCGGATGAAGAGAGGCGGAGTCTATTTGAGCTGACCAATCAGGTTGAAGTGGATCAGAGTGGCAGGAGATATGGGCGTGGGGAGAGAGAGTTTGAAAGCTTCATGAGACATCTTGATAATGCTGTTTGTATCAATTTCTTTACACACATACATTCGCACACACATACATATATACACATACATACATCATTGAATACACGCACACACACACACACTCACACACAGGGCTACAGAACAGGTTATCCATACAAAGAAGAGGAAGTTAGTGGTGGTGGCCAAAAATCAAAAAGTGGGGCAAGTGACGTTAAAGAACCCCCGCTCGTTTCCTCGTTTGTCTATGATTTTGATGACGCCCCTAGTAGTAGATCAGCATCGCGAGCAGGCAAGCCAAGTAGAGGTGGGCCGTCTTTTTCGAAGCAGGCGAAACCTGATTGGCTGGAGGACAGGAGAGGGGAGGAGCTAAATGAAAGCAACATCAACTACAACAACAACAATGATGTATCAAAGAATATCAGTCGGGTTAGGATTGATTGCTTGCTACTTATCATATCTCACCGGTACAGCCCATAAAATTTTCAGTAAAATATAAAAATAACATTTTATAATGTCATAATTTTATTTTTCAGTGGGAGCCGGAGACCACAAGCACTCCCCTAAAACCCGATCCCTATCCTGAAAACATCCCAAAAACGTCATCGTCAGTGGCCACGAAACAACCACAGAGTATGGAGGATAACGTTAATTACAATGGGACAGCCACTAAAGCCGCTGTCAGCAGCAGTAGCAGTGCTGATGAAGTTGCTGCCAGGGTTGCTGTGTCTCCTACTAAGTCTGTTGGAGGTTAGAAACCGCGATGGTGATGAGAAATATGGTGGTGACGACGAAGATAATGATGAGGATGATGGTGACGACGATGATGGTGATGATGATGATGATGGTGGTGATGATGATGATTATGATGATGGTGACGACGACGATGATGATTATGATGATCATAATTTTTTAGCCAAGAGTCCACAGCTAGGCTCTCCAACTAAGTCTACTGCTTCTAGCACTGATAAGGAGGTTGTTGTTGTTGTTTTTGTTGTTTTTCATTCATTTATCATTCGTTCGACCATTCATTCAATCATTTACTCATTCATTCATTCATTCATTTTTTTTTTATCAATCCAACCTCGACAGCTCTCGCCCACACATGAATCAGCCATGTCACCTACAAAGGAGAAGAAGAAGAAAAAAGGGTTCTTTTCGTCGTTCAATAGAAAGAAGGATAAATGAAGGAGTGAAGGAATGGAGTGATGGAGAAATTAATGAATGAGTGAATGAATGATTGATTGATTGATTGAATGAATGAAGTGGCGAATGAATGAGTGTATGGTAGAATGAACGATATCAAATAAAGGTGAAGAATGAAAGAACGAATGAACGATTGAATGACTGATTAACGGATGTCACGAACAAATAAATGAATTAAAATGAGATTGAATGTTATAATGAAAAATTATGAAATGAAAAATTAAAGGAGGAAAAGCGCGATTGAAAGTAAAAAAAAATGAATATCTGTGAATGGAGGAGTGATTGAGTGAATGAGTAAATGAATGATTGGACGATAGAACAAAAGATCGGATGATTAGATTAGTTAGTGAATGAATAACAAAGAATACTTCGCTAAAATACTAAATAAATAAACGAATATGTAATTTAACTACGATATGATAATTACTGAACAATTGAGTGAGGAAGAACTACAAGTCGATGAATTAACGTTATATTAATAAGAAATGTAAGCGACATTTATTCATATTTTGCTTCTTTTGTCCATTAAATTGAACGATGGATTGATTGATTGATTGACTGATTGATTGATTGGATTGATTTTTGTAGCTACATCAAAAAATTCAATTGCATTTGTCCAATTGTATAAATGTATTGTCACATATGAAATCATGAGAAGTAAGAACACACACACGTGTGTGTATATGTGTAAGTATGTATATGTGTACTACACATACACACATACATACTTAAAATACACATGTATATATATATATATATATATATGTATGCGCGCGCATACATTAACATGTATGTATGTGTATATACTTATAATTCATTTTCTATAATTCATACTAATATTTTGCTTATAATTTGTGAATTTTATCGCATTTTTTCATTATGTCGTATTAGCGTATGTGCATGTGTATGTCTGTGTGTGTGTGCGTGTGTGTGAGTTATCTATGTATTTTTTTATTGTTATTATTATTATTATTATTATTGTTGATTGTTTTATTTGCTTACCTTCGCCATTTTCGATGATGGATTTGTTTTGAAATTATTCACGTAGTAATATAATAATGATGGCGATTCATTTAATTTTTGGGGGGTATTGTTTGTGTCGGTTATTTGAATGGTAAACAGTAAACTTTTATTTTGTCTCTCTCTCTCACTCTCACTCTCTCTTTCTCTTTTCCTCTTTTTTAATTAATTGGCGAATTCTCTACTTTCTTCATATCTTTCTTTCTTCCTTTCTTACTTGCTTATTCTTAACTCTGTCTGCTGTCCGTCTTCTAGTTGACTCTCTCTTTTTCTTTCTCTCTCTCTCCCCCTCTTTCTCTCTCTCCCTCTTTCTCTCTCTTTCTCTCTCTCTTTTTTTTCTCTCTCTCTCTTTTTCTCTCCTAATTGTTTTCAACTTGAAAATTTCAGATGTCATTTTTTGTTTTTCATTTATTTAGTCCAAATTAATGTTCTTAATTCATTCATTTATCGTTTCGTTTTGAATTATTTCGATTTGAATGATCGAATTAATGAATGATTGAATTAGTGGATGATTGAATTGATGAATAAATGAATGATTGAATTGATGAGCTGATGAATGATTGAATTGATGAATTATTTTTAGTAACATATTCTTCATACGTTAGTTATTTTCATCTACATTACGCTTTTCTGATTTGTTCATTCATTAATTCATCATTAATTCATTCATTCATCCATTCAATAATTCATCCATTCATTTACATTCATTCATTCGTTCATTTTTTTCTTTACATTCTAGTTGCTTCTAAGGCTCTCAATACTGTATATATGTATTTGTGTTCGTGTTTGTATTTTATAGTGAGTGAGTGAGTGAATGAATGAATGAATGAGTGACTGACTGAATGCATAAATAAACTAATGAATAATTACATAATTTTATCACATACGTGTGTAAGAGTTACCATGTAAAAAGGCAAATTATTTTATTTCATTCATTCTTATATACCTATTACCATTAAATAAGTAAATATATAGTATATATATTTACTTATTTATTTATATACCAATATAAATAAATATATATATATATATATATATAATAAAAACGAATATTCTCAATTTATCAACGAATTACTAACCATAATATTTTCTAACGGCGCATTAGTTTTTGACTACTTACTTACTGTAATCAGTAATTCGATTGTAGCATAAATATTAATATCAGTAATAATAATTATAATAATATTAATAATTATAATAATGTTAATAATAATAATAATAATATTGATTATGATTCTTGTTTGTTTATTATTATTATTAATACTAATGGTGTGTTTAGTAGTGCTAGCAACAAAACGCCGATTTTAATAATAAGTAACTTGTAGGAATAACTTGTAGTTGCAGTTATGTTATTATTATTATTAATTATTATTATTAATTATTATTATCATCGTTTATGGTGGCCATCATCATCACCGCTTCCCCGTATATTCGTTATTCATATCCATATATACACGCAACATATGCATACAATATTCATACATATATTCATACATACATACATATATACATTCATACATACATACATTCATACATACATACATACATTCATACATACATACATACATACATACATACATACATACATACATACATACATACATACATACATACATACATATATATTCCAGCTGAAGCAGTTAGTTATAGTAGTTTTGTGCGTGCGTGTGTTTGTGTGTGTGTGTGCGTGTGTGTGTGTGTGTGTGTGTGTGTGTCACAGCCTTTAGCTATCAAACTAATAAAAGCTTTGCATTGATTGTTTTTTTTTCACTATTGTTTGTTTGGTTTTGTTTTTTTGATTTATATTGTCATTATAATTGAATGTAGTGTGATATCATAACTGTTTGACTGGTAGATCGGTTTATTGGTTGGTTGATTGATTGATTGGTTGATTGATTGATCGATCGATTGGTCGATCAATTGGTCGATTGATTGATAGATTGATCGATCGATTGATGAAAGAAAATGTAGGATAGATTGAGAGATAGATGGATGTATCGATAATTAATGTTATTTATGCGCTTTGTTTTCTACCGTTAAATCTTATTACATTATTTATATGGTCGGCTGGATTTTTTTTTAAATAGATTTTCTTAAATATTTTTGTACTAAGTTTGTGTGTGTATATATATATATAATATATATTATGCCTATTCGATGTTTTTTGTGATTGATTGTCGGCAAATTTGTTAACTTTTATCACAATAAACGTTTCTAAACATATGCACATGTATATGTTTATATATATATATATATATATATATATATATATATATATGTATATATGTGTGTGTGTGTTTATATATCTATATGTATGTTTATATATATATATAATTTATATGGCTTATAATTCTATCTTTGCTTGCGTCACTTCATTAATTATTCGTTCGTTTAAATCATAATTTATTATTAAATGAAGATTGAATGAATAAATTTTTTTATAATTAGAAAGCAAAAATTTTTTCACTTTGTCGTTGTATTATTCATCGTCTTTGGGGTTTTACAATTAACTGGATAGTAGATTGATATGTTTATTTGTCTATGCAGTTCGGTTGGTTTTATATTTATATTTGGTTTCTATGTAAACTTTGGTCGATAATGGAGTTTGATAAGATCTTAAATTAGATAGAAAAGCGTCAAAAGTTTTTATTTTCGGATTAACTTTATTTGATTATTCTGTTTAGTTTATTTTTTAGTAAAAAATAATATTTGATTTCGGACAAAATGGCGAATCGAACCGTCAAGGATGCCGCCACCGTTAAAGGAACCAACCCACAGTACCTAATCGAAAAAATTATCCGGACGAGAATTTACGAATCCAAATTTTGGAAGGAAGAATGTTTTGCTCTATCGGGTTAGTGAGAGGGAAGCAATTTTTTTACGAAAATTATGTCTATATATAATTATATATCCATCAATTTTATAATCAATTTTATTAATTTATTTTATATTTTAATGTTTTTAAAATTGTAGTTTACTACTGCTCTAGTTTTTTTTCAATCTCATATAAAACAAAGTTAAGATTTTGATTTTTTATGTAAACAAATATTAACCATTGAAAATAAATCACGAACAGCCGAATTGCTGGTGGACAAAGCAATGGAGTTGAAATATCTTGGCGGGGTCTACGCAGGTAATGTCAAGGTCTCACCATTTTTATGTCTCATTCTAAAGATGTTACAGATACAACCTGAAAAGGACATCATTGTCGAGTTCATCACACAGCCCGACTTCAAGTTGCTACAATTATTTTTCAGAAATTTCATATTCAATGTTTTTGGTAAATAAAATATTTATGTATATGTCTGTTTTGCAATTATGACACCTCCTAAATTTATTTATATTAAGTTTATTACCTTTTGTATAAACATTCAAAAAACTAAAACAAATCATTAATTAATCATTTTATCCCCCGCCTTGACTAAGTACCTAATTGTTTACCATCAGGTATGTTCGAGCTCTGGGGGCGCTGTACATGAGATTGACCGGCACATCCCTGGACTGTTATAAATATCTTGAACCACTGTACCTAGATTACAGGAAGTTGAAGAGGATGGATAGGAATGGATGTTAGTTGGGTCATTTTGTATTTGATACAAACATACATAACATACAGACAAACAACACATACACACACATACAAACAAATCAACAAACATACATGCAAACATACGTACATACATATGTATGCAAACATGCATACAAACTAACACATACAGTATTTGATCTCGTACATATGGACGAATATGTTGACGATCTTCTGAGGGAGGAAAGGATTCTGGATATCATACTTCCAAGGATACAGGTGAGTATCCATGATGGTGATGATAACGATGATGATGATGGTGATGATGATGGTGATGAGGATGATGACAATGAGATGTTATAATATATATTATATGATATTAACCTAACTTTATTACAATGTTACACTATCATGGCGTCGTTCTATCATAGTGATATCATGCTAATTTTATAATTGCATCATCATCATAATATAATATGATAATTATGACGTCACAGAAACGTCACGTCCTTGAAGAAATGAACCAGCTTGAACCCCGGGTCAGTGCCCTAATGGATGACGGTGACGTGGACGTCTCTGATGATGATGTCGATATGAAGGTCGGTTATGATGATGATGATGGTGGTGGCTGCCGTGATGATGATGATGATTACGATGGTGGTGATTGCGATTGTGATGATGATGGTGGTCATGGTGTTTGATGATAGTGACTTTGTGATGATGATAATTTAATTATGATGATGATGATATTGATGATAACGATACGATGGTTGTGATGGTAATGATGACGAAATGATGATAATGATGACGGCGACGATGATGATGATTATCAATGTAAATAGCAATTAACATGACTAATTTTTACTTTACTACACAGGAGAACGACCACCATCACCACCACCACAAAAACGACAGCAGCAGCAACAACGTCAGCGCGACAGCGTATGGTAATAGTAATAGTAGCAACACAAATGACGTCATCAACGGCCATAGAAGTAACAATTACAACAACAACGAAAGATTGCGTAGGAGTAGAAGTGGCTCGAAGCATAGACGAAATAGCAGCAGGTCGCCTGCCCATAAAAGGTCGATTGGAATGATTGAATTGCTTGGATTGTATTGATTGGATTGAATTGATTGGATTGAATTGATTGGTTGGTTGAATTGATTGGAATGATTGAATTGATTGGATTTGCTGGTTGGTTGATTGGTTGATAACGTAATCAAAAAATTTTCATCCCACAAATCCAGGAAAAGATCCCACTCGAAAGAGCGAGAATCCCGAAGAGAGAAAGAGAGAGATAGAGAAAAAGAGAGAGGAGAGAAAGACAAGGAAAGGGAGAGAGACAAGAAAGATAGAGAGAAAGAAAGAGACAAGAAAGATAGAGAGAAGGATAGAGAGAGAGAAAGAAATAGACACAAGGAGAGAAGGAGGAGTAGATCCAGAGAAAAACGTCAGTGGATTGTTGTTATCATTTCCGTTGTTGTTATTATTATTATTGTTATTATTTTGCTTATTATTATGCTTTATTTTTATTCTCCAGGGCACAGAAGAAATGATGAGGACGACGATGATGGGTTAATTTTTCTTTCACTCACGATTTGTTGAAATTTGTTAATCTCAAGTTTAAAGTTATCTGCTATAATATAATTGTTTAATTGGTTGAATGAATTAAATGAGTGAATGATTGATTGATTGAATGATTGATTGAAATCTAAATAAGCTAGTAACACGCAGCTTGTAGAGTTAGGATTAGTACATCTAGTACTGCTACTTATAGTAATTCTGCTACTACTACTCTACTACTACTACTACTCTACTACTATTACTACCACTACTACTGCTGCTACTGCTGCCACTACTACTACTAATAATAATAATTTCATTTTTTTCATTGCAGATATCACAAGTCGAAAAGAAGATAAATAGATTACTTCTGTTTGGACAATGAACTACTGACGACCAAATTCTTTATTATTGTTATTGTTATTATTATTAATGTAGCTGTTCATTCCTCTTCTTCTTCTTCTTCTCCTTTTTATTATTATTATTATAATAAAAAAGTTTTAATATTATTATTACTATTATTGTCTATAGTATTTTGAAAGTAATTTCAAAGAAGTGAAGATAAAAGTA